TTTTTTAGGGTTTTTTAAAAAAAAAAATTTTTTTTTCTTTGGGTGGGGGGCCCCTTTTTCCCCCCCCCCCCCCCCCCCCCAAAATCTATCATTTTGTCACCTTTGTGTTGACAACATTATTTAAATCAAAAATTGAAGTGGTGAAACAAAGTGTTTAGCTCTACAGAGAAGGAGCTACATTAGGTGCAAGTGTCTTGAAGGAAGCCAAAGATATTCTTTCAACTCTAGGAACATGTGCACATTGCTTGCTTATTTCATAAAGCCAATTAGAAAACATTCCAATAATAACTCCAGTTGTATAACGTGCGTGCGTATGTTGTGCATACCAGCGTGCACGTGCTGATCAACTGTATGTTGTTTACGAGATTGTGAAACACGAACATATTATTAAACATACATGGACATGGCAAACCTTTTTGTTATGCCTAAAGCTGTAGAGTTAACACGCAATGTACTGTGTCCAGTTTTGAAAGAAATAAGCTGCCAGCTTGTGGTTTAACATGAGGCCTTGTTTCCAGTAAAGTTGAGACAGTTTTACTTATAGCATTACTATCTTAAAACGTTCCATATTGTTTCCAACACCTCATAAATTTGGTCAACAGGACTAGATTGGCAGGATTAGACAGAGGACTAGATTGGCAGGATTAGACATGACTAGATTGGCAGAATTAGACAGAGGACTAGATTGGCAGGATTAAACAGGACTAGATTGGCTGCTCGTGGTTAGAAATAATTATCTCATATGGATTTTATCCCCTATATGTATATATGCATGTATTTATGTATACATGATGATGTACTGGAAATGCAACTTGAAAGAGGGTCTGGGAAGTTCCATTATAATGCAAATAAAGTAAATACCATCAAAATATTTATTTCCTGAAGGTACAACTGAAATTATTAATGTTACTATCAAGTTTTTAACAAATTTGACATTATAAAGACATAATTACAAATATGGTTTATGTATTTATTTATTTCATATATATTTTTGTTTCATAAATCTTTTCTAAAGGTGATGCATACTATGTGACTAGGCTTCACAATTGAGGATGCATATCCTTTATACTAAATGTAGAGAAAATTGATTGATTGATAAAAAAAGATTGATATTTCAAACTAGCATAGATGTGATTACGACTTCAGTCTTCGGTTTCAATCTTGGGCCACATTCAGAACAGTGGACGAACTAGGCCGAGGGTCAAATATGGCCGACCCACTTGAATACTTCCCCACAGGGAATCTATTCAGTATATATTAGTTGATTAGACGGCAAGTGTTTTAGTGGGGTGCTAATTTGACCCGTGGGCTAGTTACGGTAATGTGCCAAGCATTTCGACGGGCCCAGTCAATCCGACCACAAAAAATATCTTATAAAATTAATTTTTCTGGGCTCAAACATTTAGTCCATACGTCAAAATCATGCGACATAATTTTTTTCTTGTTCCGATTGTTCGACCACATCGTCGGCAAGCCTCGGTAAATTTTCAAGCCAGTCATATATATGCTGCATGCCGGGCCCTTTGTCAATTGTTGTCCTTTCAATAGCTCTCGTCAATGAGGAAGAAACTATTAACTGAAGATCTAATCTGGAAGCATGACGTACCTGTCATTTCCTTTGTCCCCGATGAGAAAATAGTGTTATAGACATACAGTTTGTGCTAATTAAGCAGACTTGCCCTCGCTGACTGATTCATCACGCCCGTAACTGGGGAAAGGGGGGGGGAGGTTAAAAAGGTCCATTCTGGATGAAACCAAATATCGACAGTGGGTAGAATACGTCGTAAACACCTTCATATAGACCATATATAGCGTTTGCTAGCAATAAAAAGTTTGGGAAGAATAAGCAATTTATTTTCAAGTTTGATTGAAATATATATGCAGATGGGGAAACGTTCTTGAAGTCAACACTTACATTTACTACAATCGACCGAAAGATCAGCGGGATCGACCGCCCAGACTTCTTGGCGCCAAATACCACGCGCTGTCAAAATCAGACGAACACGTGTAGCTGTTCACCTACATGGATAACTGATTTGTCAACAATAAAATTGACGTCTTCCTTAACTCCATGAGAGCTTCATAGAGAGTTCCACTGGATATTTACGTTACCTGTGAGTCACTTTTTATTTCCCCAGATGCATGAAATGATGATATTTAGCGTAATCCACGAAGAACTCAATTCCTGTGACCCCCTCCACCAAAATGGGACCGTCTTCATTAACATGTGGTTTGCGCTATATTCCAGACCAGACCAGATAAGACCAGTCTTATTTCTGCATGTGCTCAATTCTCGCGTCAAATTATAAATGCACTTGTTTTGTGAAAATTATGGCAATTAAATGCTTTTTTTACGTTCGGGTTGTATCAGTGGGGTTTTCAATATGCACCGTGGTTTGTGCACAGCGAGAGTATATAAGTAAGAAAATCGGAAGAGTGCCAGCAAGATAGGCCTACTGTATGTCTATCGGCACAGGTAGGCTCCGTGTTTTGCCTTTTCTCAATATGGTTTAATATGACATGCTTTTTAAATAAAATACTTTTAAGTAATTTTAAGTTACACTGAATTCCGTTTGAGTACCAGTTGGTATTCTTTGATACGGGTGATTGAATTTTCTTCGGAAGTACGTCTACGCCTCGACGCTGAGCAAGCCTTGCGGGTTGAAAACAACTGATCTCAGACTGGTAAAAAATTTCATTTCGGTTGATTTCAGTTGTCATATTAAAATTCAAATAGGGCGTACGTAGATCACATAATTAGTTTTAGTCTACTAAAGCTACCGGTTTCAAATATAAGTGACCGGCCTTTGTTTACAACACCTGTCTCTGGGGAAATACTCGTCCCACTCGTGAAGCGCATCATGAAAATGATCGTAGGTGAGGGAAATATATAATTAGAAATTATAATTGTCGTCTTTTTTAATGTTAAGTAATGTTAGCACATATTGTACACAGCCAAATAAGATTTTAAAAGGAGGATAAAACAAGCCTGAAACACGTGTTAGGCGAAAATTGCGGCTTATCTTGCGTCACACTTCCGGTAAAATGCAATACTTCCGGAAAGATGGACGTTTTGGCAGATGCCCCTAACAATCCGACGATATCAAAGGTTTCCATTTGCTGTATTTTAATCAATTCGACCAAACTGACATTTCCATGAAATTAATTAATTAATCTTGGTCGAATTGTTTGGCATATTACCGTAT